TAACAACAACAACAACAACCTTTTATTACTAGTATCTTTATAAATACAAATTTTATTTTGAATTTGGGAGTTGGAAGCACTGTATCTTAGAAGGGTAACATCAGCAAATTGGGTACTCCAATAATGGTGTGTAATAAATATTACTAACAATAAAGCAAAAAACCCACTGCTGATAGAGTTGATTCTAGCTCATTCTCTCACCAAAAAAGATAGTGCTAAGTGTGGTCTGTTGTAATTCAAACACATCATAAGTTGAGCACTATCTATATTCACTTCTAAGATCTTTATAAAGTGTTTACAAAAGGTGTATTACCTTATACATCTTGTACTTCCACTTATTAATGTGTCTCTGATCACTTTCTAAATGAATTTCAACAGCTCTATACTACTCTCTATTTTTTGTGTAGTTTTAGCCTGCGTGGATTAATTTAACCACTTTGTTGCTGGGCACTTCTTCAGATTTATGATATATGCAACAGTGCACTGAACATTCCTGAATATGGGAACATTCTTCAGGTAAATCAAGGTAATCCTTAGAATGTGCAGAGCTGGGTTCAAGAATAAGTATATTTTAAGTTTTGGCAGATAATGCCAAATCATTCTCTTCAAACACAACAAGGTACCCTACTACAAAAAAATAGGAAGCATTTTGAAAAGTGGCCTTACTATCTGTGGTTTCACGCAAACTTTAAAAATCACATTCCACTTTCAAACTAATCTCAGTCAAAAGCTATTCACTCAACTTTATAAGATCCTATAGAAAGAATACAAATGAATCAGGCACTAAGGGACTTCACAGCAGCTCAGGATTTGAAATAGAAGGTATGACAGAAGTAGAACAGAGTATCAAACCAGTATACAGGATGTGGCAGACACTGGGACTAGGGAAGGTGTCAAAGGAAGCATGTGAAAACAAAGCCCCAGCAGAAGGACTTGGGCTTAGTGAGAATCAGAACTTCAGCACATAGACATGGAGCTCAAGCAGCATGGCAGATAGTGCAAGACAATGAAAACACAAAATAGCACTGGTCATAGAGGTGACGAGGAAGATGTATGAGGAAGGGAAGGACTCGGACAGGCTACAGTAGGCCCAAGGGGCTGGGGTTCCAGCTCAGAGGACGACTAGCCACCCCACACTGAGGGAATGAATGCTAAGTGCTTTCCTTGGGTCCAGCGGTGATTGTTTATTCCTCAGGAAGTAGGTGCCATTACTACTGTTACTTTATAAATGAGAGGCGTTAGGGCAGAGGGAAAAACAGTCACCTGCCACAGTCCCATGGCCAGGAAGAGTAGAGCCAAGACTTGAAAGCAAGCCTGTTTGATGCTACAATCCATTGCTATTAACTGTACGTATGACTCAAAATAGAAAACACTCAACTGGTACATTAATTCTATAGGGTGTGAATTTTTAAAATATATAATAAAATAAAAAACATAAAATATTTTGTATTATGTATAATAAATAAAGAGTTTTGGATATTTTAGGTTTCCATTTATTAAATTAAACATACACCTCAAGGGGCTAAGAGTAAAGTCAAATGAAGACAATCTGGTACTCCACTGAAAGACCAGGGAGCTCTGGGGGGGAAGCACACAGGGAGGAGCTAACGCAGAGAGGGCACCGCTGGTAGTTCAAATCCTCCAGTAGCTCAGTGGAGAATACAGCCCTGGAAAACGCGCTGGAGGGTCAGCTATGAGGAGGTTCAAACTTAACACAGCAAGGTGAGTAAACTAAAGACATACACAAAAGTGCTACTTCCATTCCATTTTGGCCCCCAAGGATCATCATCTACAGACAGATTTATTTCGAGGAAAATCCACTTTCACATTAGACTGATGAAGGGAGAACCTGTGAAGTAATTTTTATCTATTACCTTAAATATCAGAGCGAGATGATTGGAGTGCTTCTCTGCATTCCACGGTGGTTTAGCACAAGCCATTTCTATAATAGCACAGCCAACACTCCACACGTCACAGCTCCTCCCATACTGCTGACCTCTCAGTACCTAAAATAAAGCCAAGAGTTAACTTGGAAACATGACTCATGTTAAAAAGGAGAAAGCATTCAGCAGTATGAACTCTCGTATTTTAATTACAAGCCATAGGAGGGTACAAACATGTTCTGCCTCCGCAGTAACATGGACTACCTGATGTTTCCTTGATTCCATGAACAAGGTAATGTTCTATGTGGGGTAAGGATATTCTGCAGAACTGTGAGGTTCTAAAGAGTCACGTCATTGGATTTCAAAGCAGCCTCACTGCTCTTGATAAAGTAAGAGGCCAGATGACAAAAATGACCACAATGTATGGGCACACAAAGAGCTAGGAACACAGACGGTCGGATTCAGAACAGCAATGCTTTGTTAAACCTCACCGTCTACTGAGGAAACCTGCTTCTGAGGTCATCTTCCTTTGGAATGGAGATAACAGTTTACCTGTACGAAATTTTCATTATATGCATTTTGCATTTCCTACAACTTTTACACATTATGAAATCATTATTTACTAGAAAGAGTTTTAAAGTCAATTTATTAAAAAATGTCTACCTTTACAAATTTTGCTAAACCAAAGAAGGAAAGCCTGGGATTAAAAAAAAAAAGGCTGAAATTAATGCTATTATCAAGAATTTATTTAAGGGTCATGGACTTGTGATTGATGAGTATAATAGTATCAGTGCAAAATAATTTGTTACAACACTGTTATGCGAAATTTCAAAGTATTTTTTTCTATCCATTTTACCTATCCAATCAAAGCTCCTTCTCACCTCAGGTGCCATAAATGCAATTGTTCCCAGTAACTGTCCCTGAAACTCTCCTGCACCAGTTCCTTTTGATGCCAACCTCGCTGCAGCTCCAAAATCTGCAATTCTCAGCCTCTGACCTGTGCTGTCAATTAGCAAATTGGCACCTGTCAACAAAACAGCAAATGAAGTTATATGTGAACATCAAAAGTGTAGCCAGATTAAAATCCAGTAAAATACTACTTATGAAATACAACAAAGGAAAGAAGTATAGATGTCACAAGGGCCAGATAAATGAAATCTGCCTCTCCTTTCATTATGGCTAAAGGACAAAAAGCACCTAATTTAATAATCAAAACTTGATTTAAAAAAGTAATTATATAGAGTAACTGAATACATGCTATGAGTCACAGGCGACTCGACGGCACATAACAACAACAGCAACAACAACTGTACTCTGAGGTAAAATGAGGCAATCTCCTCCTGTAAAGATTTACAAGCTCAGAAACTCCATAGAGGGTGGCCAGGTGCAGGAACGGACTTGATGACAGCTGTTCACACAAGCCTCACCACAAAGTTCCCAATTCCCTTTACTTCAGTAATTTCCTGAATGCTCTGGGTTAAAAAGTAATTTAATGAACTGTTGACAAAAAAAGTATTTTAAAGCCTATAATCCTATACTAAGACATACTCAATAGATATCTACATTATCTTACACATGAACAAAATGAAAAATGAGACATAAAAAAGGAACCCTTCTCCCTAATAAAATAAGTTCTACCAATTTCCTGTATTTCCTTCTGTGGGAGGGAAAAAGGTAACATATATAGGTAATCTCTGACTGGAGACGGGGTTCCTATCCCAACAACCACAGTTTTAAGTTCGTTCTGAAGTAAGCTGTATCTCATTTTAAAAAAATGAGAATTCCATGGACTGCTAGGGAAACAAATAGATTTGTCCTGGAAAGGGTTAAACCGGGTGGCTCCTTGGAGGCAAGGATTCTGAGGCTCCGTCTAACATACTTTGGACATGTTGTGAGGAGAGA